CACACCCACACCCACACCCACACCCACACCCACACCCACACCCACCCGCTTATTTCCTTACATCAGTCCCAACTAAAAAGGAATAATTAAAAGAAGAAAAATCAAGCGGAGAAGGGGCGAGTATAGACAGTCAACTTTTTTTGGATTTTAATAACGTACGTATAGTTTTTTAAAACTCGATAAGTTATTTAAAGATTATTAAGAAAGGTTGCAAATTATACTTCATTGATACATTAAATAATTATTGTTTAACTCAGACCACATTAAGTTCTGTATTTGATCAAAAGTCTCTGGAGTACCATGACTGAGATTTAAATCAGAAGTGAGCTTCAATTTAGTAGAGAGACTCATAAAAAATAAATTAGATGTTTTGAACACAATAGTCCACGTCAGGTCGTAGGAAGACTTCACACTGAAGTTTTTTAAGCCTAACGGGATTTAGTTTTCGAGAGATTTACTGGATTTATCTTTGACGATATATAATATCTTTTCATTGTATAGATAAAAGCCATAGCAAAGAAGAGGCATCTCGCATCCTCGTTTCGTTTCTCTCTTGGTTCTGTCTTCGTTTTCACCTTTCAAAACGAAGTCATTTTAGCTTCATGTTCAGTGTTAATATTTTACATTCAACTGAACACGAAAACCTTTAGTAACATTTCAAAAGGTTTCGAAAAATAAACTCTGGCAGCTGCAATGATTATATTCATAGATTTCCTGCAAGTTCGTCTCGTAGTAAGTCTACAGATTCTTCATCAAATATAAAACTTAATGTAGTCTGAGCTGAGCAATACTTATTCAAAGTGCCAATGAAGTGTAGTTTTCAATCCTTCTGCATAATTTTTAAATAATTTACTGATTTTTAAAAAACTATACATACGTTATTAAAGTGTGAAATCTACTCTAAATATTCATTTTTACTATGGTATCATCAATTATTGCATAATTATTTAATATTTAGTTGATCTGAAATAACTTCGGCAAACAGTGTAACTTCGGCACGACATATATATCGATGTTTTTCTATAAATAAACGAGCCGGTATAAACCGAAACATCGATCCATGTATATCACGCTAACAGTTACATCTACCAACTCACACCGACACCCACATCCAGTCACACCCACACCCACACCCTCGCAGACCATAAGAAACATAGAACTAAACTGTTTCTGTGTCATCAGTCACAACAGCTATATCGTGTTTCACATTTTAATCCCATAGGGATTGTGCTAACAGCTTTTTGGAAAACAAATAACCATTAACATTTATTTATTTCATTCATGGCTAGAAAAAAAGATTTATGAAGAGGCAAAAGAAAAACATCAAATAAGTAGTATGAGAGTGAATCAATGGTTGTATGTCACATTCACTAATTAATCAGTAAAGAAACACCAAAGCATTTTTTAACCAAGGTCAACTTTAAAAAAAAACCAATAAAAAATACCTTTGTGGAAAAGTAGTTTCTTTTTTTCCCGAGAACAATACATTTTGACTGCAATAAAGTTCGATCAGTGTCGGACGCGTTTCAGAAATGAAAAGTTAACATCGTCACTTGGAAACTTTTTTAATGACAAAAAACTTTGTCAGAAAAAACTTGCTAATGATTGTTACAAACGCACTGTAAAATACTGGTCATTTCTGGAGAACACCGCCCTCACATAAGCAAATCTTGTTTTAAAACTTTTCTGAATATTCAGCAACATTACCAAGTATTGAACAGAATTCAGTTCTGAGTCTTCGAATTGAAAAATGTAAAATATATCGAAATGTTAAGTTATTTTGTAGAAAAAATTCATTATTTTAATTTTTGTCAGAAACATCATTTAAACTTTTATCTTTCGAAGAGCAATAACTAATACTATATGCACATTTATATTCAAAAAGAATTTTTTTGGAAAGGATCATTTGAATTATAGAAAATATTCAGAATTTAAAAAGCGGATTACTTTGTTATCCACCTTATTCTGCAGATCTAGCCCCAGTGATTATTTTTTGTTTTCTGTTTTCAGAGATTATCTCAAAGGAAGACATTGCAAGCTCGAAGTTCATTAGACTCAGCAGTACATCAGTAGCTGAACAATGTATCTAAAGATGACTTTACAACAGCTACACAAAAACTTCTAGAACGTTGACAAAGGTATATTTCAGTGAAAAGACAATGCTTCGAGAATGAGAAGTCATATCAATAACTGTAAACTGTTTTGTTGATTTTTTAATAGAACCAGTTTAGGAACTTTTTGAACGCACAATGTATGTATATACACGACTGTATCTGTACAAATAAATACACAGGGGTACAAATATACACACAGACTCATTTTATTTCATATGACCCTGCAGTTTACAAAATAAACAGAAACTTAAAGTAATTGTAAGAAAAAGAGTAAAGATCACATAATAAACAATAAGTGTCCAGAATGCACAATTATAAAGTGTTGCGTGACAATATACTAGCGTATTTGGATTTGAAAATTGTACTGAATGTTTCACAGGAAAAATTATAATACTGCCCTGAAAGATAAAGAAATTAATTAGCACTACAGCTAGAAACAACAAGCTTCTACTAGACTCGTGATCAAAGTAGTAATTACTTACTGTTATCATTAAAGTAAGCATAATTATAACATATAGTATAACCATGCATATCAAGACAAAGTATGCAAAACAACATGCGAACAGTATTGCACAACATTCCTCGCAACATGTTTTTGTATCACTTCGCTTTCGAATTCTACTTTCTGCCAGCAAGCAACCCTGTAAAATATGAATAAAGGTAATAGTTCCTATACAGTATACAACAGCAAAATAAAACTCGATTGTTCATACCGGTAGAATCAGAAGACTAATAATTATTTCCATCACAGCAGATGCAATCATATAAATGGCTATAGATGATCGTATTGGACAGTCACCGTAATGGATAATGCCAATAATTAATTTTGTTATCGGTATGATTGACATTACACAAATAATCGAAAGTAATGCTGGAACACTACAAAACTTTGTTCGTAATGTACTGTCAATCGATGACCTTTGACCTTCATTTTGAATAAATGGTTGTGGTTGTAATGATTGCAGTTCCCGGTCTTCATGTGAGCAATTCATTTGTTCTTTTTATATCACAATCGTCTGTTCTCGGCTCTACGTAAGTACCAAAATTCTCGATTGTTCTTAAGGGTGTCAGGGGCTAAATTTCTACAGAAAGCCTAAAAAATTTGCCGGAAAATAGCTTTATTTGACTTTCTAACAGATGCTTAACAAAAGCTGCTAGAGTTCTTGATTTTCTGTGAGATTTCGTTGACAGATAGCCTTTTTATGTGACTTTCAATTAGAAAAGGAAAAAGAGCGCCAATATATTAAGTTTCCATCTGAATTTATCACAAAGTGATGAAAAACTTTGCAGGAAGTGTTTCAAATTTTGATTGAAAGACAAATATTTTTCGAACTTTTGATGGAAACTAGATCTCTCGCTCCTCCCTCATCGGTCACTCTGGAAACTAGACAAACATCCAGGGTTTCTTAACTAACATTCTCTTGTCCAATGCAATAACACTCA